TCAGCCTGTCCTGTAGTGCTGTTTTGCTACATTCTGTGGAGAGATTAATAGCTCTTAAAAGCAGGAGGGACTGTTATGACCGCTTAGTCTGATCTCCTGCAGAGCACAGGATGGAGAATTTCTTCTGCTTCAGGTCCACGAGTTGTAGTAAAACCAGAGTGTTTCTCAGCCAGCGCAGTCAGCCCTGATTTATTCCCTTGGCTGTAGTGTCCCGTCTGATCCAGCTCTGTCCTTGCCCCCTTTCCCATCCCTGCCTCTTGCCTTGGGACTCGACTGCACAAGCCCGCGGCGTTTTCGCAGCTGACCTCGTAGACCACGGTGCCGTTGGGCGGGCTCGTTGCGGCCCTTTTTGGCTAGGCTGGTAAAACACGCTGCTCTCACTGTTTTATGTCTTAGGTGCTGAAATTCTGGAGGTGTGAAAAGATTAGGTAGAACTGTGCTTATGGGGCAAAACACACCGGCCTCGCCGTGCTCTGCCGGAGGCCCCTGCGCTTCTGGTCGCGGCTGATGGCCAAGAGGCCAGCTGGGACGTGTCTTCAGAGCGGGTCCCGGGTGGGGGTTGAGCGCGGCGGCCTCTTTCCCACGGGCTGGGGCTGTAGCTGCAGCCTCGGCGCGTCTTCTGTGGCTCTGGCCCGTGCGCAGCTCGGGGGGATGCGGGTGAGGGTGGAGAGGGTGGCTCTTGGGCCGCGTTGGTGGTGTTGCCCACCTCACGCTGGAGCAGCCCATGAGGAGCTTAAAAGCAGTGCAAGTCTTTAAGGATGTATTTTTTTTTCTCTGTCTTCATGTTTTAAAGCAGCTGAATTATATGTGGATTATTATCCCAACCTTTTGTTCACAGCTCTGAGAACTCCTGACTTGCTGTTAAAGGAAAGCTGAGAGTTTTGTGTGTTTGGGTGTCTGAGAGAAGAAGCTTTTGGAAGAAGAGCCAGGCTTTTACCAGGATTGACGATGATTTGGGGAGTCAGACAGCTTGTTCTGAGCCCTGACAGTCTCCCTTCTCGAAGTTCGTCAGGCAAAGAACGAGGCAGGATGAGACAGACTCCTCGCAGGGGTAGGAAAGTGGGAGATAGTGAAGGGAAACAGCCCTCCAATACCCCGAGCTAGTAATGGGCCTCTTCAAAATGCTCCTTGTGCAGCATCACCTTGTTAAAGGTGGGCAGTTTGGGAAAGGGGTGACTAGTAAACCAGCAAGGCTGGAATTTGCTGCTATTTTCAGAGCTTGCTGTGAAAGAACAGAGATAATTTATAAGGGTTTTGAGCAACTGGACTGTGGTCCTGCTACAGGGCTGCATTATTTCTCACAGAGGGAAAACTCCCCTGTGGAAAGGAAGAGGAGCTCTGTTCGTGGAGGGGAGACGGGCAGACAATGTGTGCCACATGCGAACACCCGCAACTTGCTTAAGCCGGAATGGTCCATGGGCCGGGGCAGGAACAAGAACAACAAGGGCCTGGCTCTTGCACAGGCTGGTTTGGTGACCTTGGCCACGTCCCTTCTCTCCCTCGTGTTCCTGTTTGTAAAAGGACAAGGAGAGTCTGTGGCTTTTGTAAAATGCTCCAGGAGCAAAAATAGGCTTGTGTTGAGGACAGTGACCAGCTGCTTGAAATGAATAGAGCCTTTGTGGGAAGCGATGCTCTTCCCCCCCACTTCAGCTCCCAGTTATTTGTGCTTCTTCAGGGATTCAGGATGGGACAACAAATGGCAGAACCGTCCGTCTTCCATAGCTCACGTGCCACTGAGCGTTATCTGCATTTTAAACCTACTGGGAGGCCTCTGTCTTGCAAAAAGGAGTCTCTGGGTTGGCAGCTCAGTCCCTTTTTGGCTACTGAGGCAGGAGCCGGTGCCGTTGGGATGGCTCCCAAGGATGTACCCGGCTGCTGTGGGATCTGCTGCTCTGCAAAGGAGACTGAAGGTCACCGAATCGTTATCTCTGTGGCTGTTGGCAACCGCCACCCAGTGCAGTGTTCCTGTGATTATAAACCTTTGACTCCTCTCCTGCTGGCTGGTGCTTGTGCTGATGCAGGGGCTCGCTCAGCTCAGGCTTGCTGGGTCAGTAGCCCGTTGGCAACCAGGGGGGTTGCTTAGCCGAGACTCCTGCAGGGATGCTTAGTGCTCAAGGGTTGTTTTGGGGTGTTTGAGGACAAAACCAAACCAGAACCCTGACAAAACAACCCCTGGTTGGCTAGATTAAAAAAGACGAAGGGCAAAAACCTGCTTGAAAATATAACAGGCTGCTTCCCTAGGTTTGTTCTGTGTTTGAGATCCGTTTTGTAGCTCTGTGAACCTCTTGGACTGTTCCACTCCACTGTGCTAAACAAGGCAGGGTTCTGCCACAGCCCCAGCTGCATTTTGGGGATAGTCAAGTTGCAGCTGATTCTTACTGTTCTGCTAATTTTAAAGTGCCTGGAAGTCACTTAACATTATTTTCCGAAGTGTACTTTCCTGGGTGAGAGGAAATGCCTGAAGCCTGTGGTGCTTCCCCTGAGCTCCTCTCCTATCAGCATCCAAGGGTTTGTTGGGCAGAGAAGAATTAGAAACCTCAGTCTTGTGCTCTGCTCCCCGAGCTGCCCACGGCTCCCTGCGTGCCGTTGCTCTTCCAGCTCTTCAGCTGCTTGCATGCGTGACTGTGAGCAGATCATCCCACCCCAGTGCCTCAGCTTCCCCCTGCAGTGTGGGGACATGGACCCTCATCTCTTTGCGATGGGAGGATGACGAGTGCCCTTGGAGCACGGGTATTAACATGTTCTCCAGTATTTCTCCTCTGTTGGCTGATCTTGTTCTGGCAGGATTCTCTGGAACACTGAGGGTCTTGTGGAGTAGTCCTGGGAAGCCTTTAAAACCCATCTTCTTTGGTCATTTCCTGAAACCAGGAGGCCACTTGCTGGTGGGATGACCTTTGGTCAGTCCTGCTATAAGCCTGCGGTTCTGTCTCCCCGCCTGGTGAATAGGGACAACTACTTTTAAGGGAACTTTGAGGTTTCAGTATACAGGTTTTTGAGGCTCAGAACTGCTCACCGCAGCTCTGCTCAGGGATCGCCTTAGCAAAACACGAGCAGACATCCAAAATACCCAAACCCAGGCTGGTCTCATCCTCAGAGCCGGACGGTGCTGCTCTTCATTGTGCTCCTAAGCATCCCCAAAACAGCCTTTATGGGCTGTAGAATTTTAGCTGGAGTTCTGCAGGGTGGTGGTGTTTACTGCGGCCTCGGTCCATGCCTCCTGCCCTCCCTCCTGGGGTTCCCAGCTGAGCAGCAGCAGCCTTTTGGTCTCGGCGGAGGAAAAGGGCCGTATCAAGTGCCGGGAACGCTCTGCAAGTTTCATGAGGCAGGAAGGAGGTGCATGCAGTTGGCTTGGATGCTGCTGCCTGGTTCCTCTCCTGGCATTCTGGGGCTATTCTGGGCTCTCCTTTATCTAGCATCCACTTTCATTTGTAGTACCAGAGACCCGAAGTTGGCTCTTTTCTGCCCACCTCTAGTGCAGACTGAGCACTATGTGGCTGAGATTGGGTTCACCTCTGCTTTATTTATTGTTTGCCAAGTGCTGCAAGTCATGGTTTTGCTGAACTTGCCCTGTGCTGCTCAGACGGGTGCCTGCTGGGATCTCTTTGTTCATCCCAGGACAAAGCAGTAATTCCTCAGCAAATAAAACCCAGGGTGCCACAGGGCCCACGCACGTGACTCCACGTAAAAACAAGTGGTCTGTTCTGCACAAGTGAAGTAGTTGTGCAATTGTCACGCTGGGCAAAAGGATACCTGGGTGGAGGAGCTGGGAGCAAACCCTCTCCCCTGCATCCCAGGCTCCTGTTCGGGCCATCGGACCCTTCTGCCCACCCTCCTGCCCTGGTCTGTACCTGCTGCTCTGCAGTCGCTGGAGGGGCTGGCCGAGGCAAGGGCTCTCTGGGCAGCCCAGCTCTGCAAAACAGCCCGAAATACAGGAGAGCAGGGTCATGCTGGTCTGGCTGCAAGGGCCCGTTGCAGGGCAGAGCTGGCGGAAGCCGGGCCTGCCTGCCAGGCCCAGGCTCTGGCCACACCGTCCCTGTGGATGGGCTTCGTGGTCCCCGAGAGCCTCTTTGCTTTGCAGCCTGCGCCGTCGCTGGTCTCTGGAACTGCGTCACCATCAACCCCCTGAACATCGCGGCCGGTGTGTGGATGATGTAAGCAGAGTTTCTCTCCTTTTTTTTTTCCCTTTCCTGCCGGGAGGGAGGTTTGGTTCATTAGACAGGGCTGAGCAAGGGGCCGAGCTGCCCTGCTTGGGCAGTGGGTGTGAGCGAAACGTCGGTCAGGCTCTGTGAGCTGCCAGGTCTTGCTCCACTGGGGGGGTTGAGATTCTGGGGTTTATTCTATGCATATTCCTTCTTTACCCCTCTTTGGGTAAATACTGATACACCCTTATCCAAAAGAAGCCTGGGACACCAGCATTTGGGAATTATCCAGAAGGGGGGAGGGAGGAAGCGCAGTGGGGTTCAGCCCCACTGTTCCCTTCTGCCTGCATCTGGGGATGGGAGCGGCTGGTCTCGGGGCACTGGGGGGCATAGCCGGCCCGCGCTCTGTGCCACATGAGCAGGATTAACTCTGGTTTGCTCTGTCTGGAGGCTCAACGCCTTCGTTCTGTTCCTGTGCGAAGCTCCCTTCTGCTGCCAGTTCATCGAGTTTGCGAACGCCGTCTCGGCGCGGGCAGACAAGCTGCGGCCCTGGCAGAAAGCCGCTTTCTACTGCGGGTGAGGATGCCCTGGGGCGTGCTGTGGTGGCACAGCCATCCCGGGAACTGCCTTGGGATGCACGCGGCATACAGGGCGTTGGGATGCATGACGAGCATCCCTGCATCCCGCGGGGTGCAGAGTCCGGCTTTGAGGGCTGCCTCTCTCTTCCAGGATGGCTGTGTTTCCGGTCATGCTCAGCCTGACGCTGACCACGCTTTTTGGGAATGCCATCGCGTTTGCCACTGGGGTGCTGTACGGCCTGTCGGCGCTCGGCAAAAAGTAAGAGACACCTGTCTGCTCGTGGAGGGGAGGGAAGGGGAAGGTGGACCTCCAGCCCTCACCCCTACGCACCTCCCTAAGGCTATGTATGAACCCTGCTTTCAGGCGTAAACGCTGCCGGAGAATATCTCCCTGCCATCATCCCAGAGCCCTGGGAAGGAGGGTCATGGGGTTTGTGGTAGCTCTGAGCTTTCCCTTGGAGCTCAGTCCAGGTTGCCCTGTGGGTCCCAGCCCTCTTTCTGCAGCCGTTGGACCAGCTCTGGGGGTGGTGGGTGGCTGTGCTGGTTTTAGTCAGGACAGAGTTAATTTTCTTCACAGTGGCTGGGGTGTGCTCCTGGGGCGTGGAGGGGGAGCAGATTTTTGTTTCGATTTTTTAGCAGAGATAAATCTTATTATAAATTAAACATTTCTAGACTTAGGTGTACTTACACTTAGCTATACATCTTTCCAATCCACATGTGATGTTAGATGGTATTTGAGCAACATGTGCACTATATACAATTTTGAAAAGTTTGCTTACAGGTATTTGGAGTAATAAAGGATTAAACCCCATTATTTTGGCTTTGGTAGGGTTGCAGAGGGCCAGCAGGTCTCATTTCACTCCTGGTACCCCTTGGTACAGAGAGGCCCTGGCCCTGGCTGGGACACCTCTGTGCCAGGGGCTTCTCCCCCACGGTGGGCACCCGGAGCTCACGTCCCCGCACTGTCCCTTCTCCTTGCAGGGGAGATGCCATTTCCTACGCCCGGATCCACCAGCAGCAGAAGCAGATGGATGAAGAGAAGCTCACTGGGGCCCTAGAGGGACAGGCTCTCTGAAGCACGTGAGCTCGGGGCAACCTCTCCTGGACACTGAGATGGTGAAGATACTGAAACCCACTCTGCCCACTCCCCTCTCTCTTACCTAACGGTTTCCCTGGACGCTGCAGCAACTGGAAATCTCAGGGGCTGGGGCAGGCTGTGCCCTTTTCTCACACCAGCAGCCAGACCTCAGCATGTTGGCCCCTCTTTCCTCCTTCACCAAATATCTCACAGTCCCCTATTTTTTATTGCTGCTTTACTAGCCTAAATTGGTAGCCTTTCTTTGGAGTGATGCCTGATAACGAGCCGAGGAGGTGGTGCTCATTTGGGAACTGCTCTCTGGATGGAGTGAGGAGGGATGGAGCTGACGTGCCGGCTCGTGGGTGTCAGGGAGCTGCTGGCCTCGTGCTCGGGGTAACTTGCCATTGCAGGTTACGCGTTTTCGGTAATGCTCTCCGGTGTGGCCCTTCCCAGGTGTAACACACTAATCCAGGGTTTGGCAACACGTGGTGATGCTTAAGCTTGGTTTTCTTCCATTGAGTATGTTTTAATGTGGGTCCAGTGAGGCCAGGCATCGGAGACGTCGCTGCACGGGAAAGGACTCCCAGCAGAAACCCCATGTAGAGACCACAAGCACCTCTGCAGAGGAGCTGCCAGAAGGGCTGGGGCAGATCCCGATACCCACAAAGCACAGTTCCCCCTTCCACCGGATACAGCTGCAGGCAGTTACTGCTATTTACTTGAACTACAAGAATTGATTACTTTGTCTTAATAAGGGTTACTTTTCTTAGCTTCACTCTTTTACCGGAGAAGGACAGTGAGGTTTGCTTACCACAGCTGAAAAAGGGTACTACTGCTTGAGCCAAGCGGGTTATTTTTCTGGTGTAAGGGTCACTGATGTGCAAGAGCTTCCTTCTCTCGTGAGCCTGGGACTCTGCTCTGTTACCTCACTCCCTCCTCCTGCTCCCGTGACCCATCCCTCCGAGCAAGGGACCTGCTCTTTGTTTCTCTCTGGTACAGCCTTTGTCTTCGGGCTCACGTTCTTTTTGCATCAGTCCTGCGCTGGATCTGTAGGGGAAGGTGGCGTATCCTTCCTTTGCAAACGCAGAGGGGTCTGCACCATTGCAGTGTGGGTGGCTGGGGGTGTCTTGCTTCTTTGTTCCAGGCTTCATCGGTGGTTTTCACATCATATTTTCTGTTTGCTTTGTATCATGCGGAACAAAACTGCTCGCTAAGTCCAGATCCTTCTCTTCTTGTCACGGTTTTAATTTATTTGATTTTTACATCATAGCTTTTTGTTTGGGTTAGGAAAAGGGAGAATAATTTATTTCTGGTTATTTAAGTATTTTGAGAGGACTCATCTTCTCGGGATGTAGGAGAAAGGAGTGCTCTGTTTCCTGTCCTTCAAAGGACTCTCATTTTACTGTGGGGTCTCAGAACCCAGGAGACCCCAGGCTGCTGTAACTGTAATGCTGTAAAATCCTATTTCAGTCTTCAGAGCGTTTCTCAGACTTTTCAAAAGTGTGTTGTCCTTTCACCCCTTTGGCTTCTTCTGGGCCACTGGCTTGACAGAGTTTGTTTTCCTCCTCATCTGGGAGAGAGGAGGGAGAAAAATTGGGCTGTAGTTGCTGGGTTGGAGGTTTGTACTCCCTTGGCAGCCAAGGCAGGTAGCAGCTATGGTGAGCAGCGGCAGCAGGGGCTGCAGCCTGTTCTTACTCTGCCCTGGGCGCTGAGCTCCTGCTGCCACCGACACTTCATGGTCCCATTTGAGGCACTGTGGTCTGAGAAGCGCTGTTGGAGGCTGGCTGCTGTCAGAAGGGTCTGTCTGCCAGCCACTCCGCAGTTTCTGAGCAGTGTTGTGTCGGAAACTATCTACGTAATGTGTCCTTCCTCTAGGCAGGGTGTTCAGTCACTGTAGCTGAATGGCGTCAGAGCATCCCTGGCAGGGCCTGGGATGCAGCTGCTGCTGGAGGGGGTGGCTGGGTGCCTCGCAGGGAGCAGAGTGGTCCCTGCAGACCAGGGGGCTAAGCTCACGTTAGCTGCTGTTCCTTCAGTGGAGTTCAGGGAGGTGTGAGGATTTACACCAGTCAGGAACGCGATTTGGGTTTATTGCACACAGGCCCTCGCAGCAGTGGGTACCACTTCGTGCTAAACCCCTTTTCCCCAGACCTCCGAACCGTCGTTGCTCTGCCATGCCAGCTTGTCTGCGATGCACAACCGGCAGTGCCAGGCCCGATGCAGCTTGTTTCAGTAAGGGCTGTGCCGTGTCGGAGCCCGCAGCTCCGGGCTGATCCCTGTTGCTGCATGCAGGACATGGAGCGTTGGCCTTCCGTGTGCAGGGACCCCAGCCCCGGCATGGGTCACGCTGCCTGCGGTAAGGGGGTGCTGCAGGAGGGATACGCAGCAGCCCGTGGGATGCGTCGGTGGCAGTAGCCTCTCTGCTCTTCGGGCAGCCGTGTCCCAGGGCCGTACCTTTACGGGGTGGGTCAAGCGCAGAGCCCTGCTGTGCAAACAGGACATCTGCTTTGATTTCAGGGGGGCTTGGGGGGTTTAGTAGGATTTAGTAGGGGAATGTTGCAGACTGATGCACGTAGCTACGAGCATGTGTTTGGTAGTGACTGCTTTGCTCTGAGTAGTTCCATGGTAGCTTTAGTGATAGGAGGTGAGGGGCAGAGCAGAGGTGATAGAGTAACGCTTGCAGGCTCATCTACAGCCGGGATGATGAACCACAGAACTGGTGGGACCCTCTGGCTTCACCCAATTGCTGCTGGTCCATGGCATTAGGACAGTCCCTGGGGCTGGTGCTGGCAGATGCTGATCCGGGTCACCCAGAGGGCTCATTGGCATGGACGACTCCACTCTGCTGCCCTGGCACCCACAGCAGCGGTCCCCTGGACGGCAGCAGTCCTGTCACGCTGGGTTCTGTGGCAGTTGGGTTGGACACCATGGCCAAGGCGAGCAAGCACACTGCATCGGTGCTGCTGCGGGCAGCAGGCTGCAGAGCTCAGCTCTGGGCTCAACGCTCCTGATGAAACAGCCTGCGGGGTCTCGTGTAAGAGCTGAGCTGAGGCCTTTGGCCACAGTGCTTAAAGACACCGGGACTGTTCTGTGTCCCTGTGCCTGCCGCAACAGGAGGTGTCTCAGATCCGTGCTCCAAGAGTGCCAGCTCCTACAGATATGGGTCTGGAGTGGGAGCTCTTGGGAATTTTGGCTGATGTGATGCAGCTGAAACCAAGCCAGATGCTGCCATCATTGCAGACATGGCTTGGTGACAGCCTCCATGGCTTTTAAGAGTTGTAGTGACAATTAGTGGATGGTCTCACCATCCGTGTGGGCAAGAGACTGTTTTTGTGGAGATAGAAAGGTTCTTTAGAGTAGTAGCATCACAGTAGTTAATACGCCCATTCACAGTGCATGGTGGTTATTGTGTGTAGAGGCACCTTCAGGGTGGTTATTAATTGTGTGTAGAGGCACCTTCAGGGTGCTTGGAGCTGTGTAAGGATAAATGAAGTTAAAAGCCCTGCCCTAGAGAATTTACAGGCTCAACCCAATCCCCAGTGCTGGCATCCAAGCTGGATGGCTAATCCACAGGGTCTCTGTGGAAGAGGTTCTGCTTGCCAGGCCTTGGAGAGGCCTCTTGGGAGATGATGGGACAGAAGTTTTACGTGAGAACTCGAGAGTGGGTGATGCATCGACTACAGGGAGTTGTTGACACCAGGTGTGGACAGACAGCCGGGTACTGGCAACACGTGTGTGCGTAGCAGTGCACTCTGACACCATTCACCATGTGAGCTGTGCGCTTACCCACGTGCAACTCTTCCGTGTCCCCTTCAGTCATGAAGCTGGCAGCACTTGTGCATACCTGCTCTGCTGTCCCCTGGGGCTGTCCCTTGGGTGTGTAGAAGCTCACTTTCTGCTGCGTACCCAGACCTCGCCGCTCTGGGCAGGAGCTGATTTTGTAACACCAATTGATTCTCTCTGTGTGCAGTGAATAAAAAGACCATTCTACCTCTGGAAAGAGCCACTGTGATTTCTCAGACTATACATGTTGTAGTAAAACCCCTCAGACTTTCTACACTGAGGAAAGGAGGTCACTCAGAAAATACTTCTCCAATGCGGTTCTCAGAGTCCAACCTCACTTCATATTTGGGCATTTCCTCCTTAGGCTGAGCCCAGGGAAGCTCAATTCATCTTTGTCATTTTTTCCTCAGGAAAAACACATCCACTGTCTTCAGGGAAGGGTTTCACTGCAGTGAAGATATCAAGACCTGGTCCATAGCCATGTGGGAAAGAGAACACTCTAGCACAGGGCTGCCAGAGATCCTGATCTTCAGAAGGTCAGTGGAAACCAGAGGCTCTGGAGACCTCTCGTAATCAGGCCATGCTTAGAAACAGTCATATTCCAGCCAGGGCTGAACATCTTTCTGGAAATGGGTCTCATCTGCAAAGGTTAGGTCTAATACTGAATTTTCTCTGTGGTTTTGATTTGGGCCCATCTCCCTTTCTCTGTCCCAGGCTGCTTTAAATTAATCCTCTGATAAAGCACATCTTCTCTTAGGTGATTTCTGCCATCTCCTGCTGCACGGGATCTAATAGTAGCTAGTGTATCTTGAGATAGGGGCCACATATGCTATGTTACCCCATGCTTCCTTGTCACAGCAGCTGAATATGCCAGGAATGGGATGACACAAGCATGTCCCCCAGGCCTCGAGGTGCCAAGTGCATTTCAGGAGGTTGGACATGTGCTTGGGCAAGTCATCTCCCAGCTCAGCCTTTGTTGTTCTGCCCTTTCAGGAGGTGTTAGGTTGGATGTGAGACTCAGCAAGGCCACTATTTCCTCGCAGATGTAACCACCTCCTGCAGTGCTGTTGTAACTAGGGTTAGGCTCTAAAACAATGTTAAAAGTCCTTGATCTTGCAGGACACAGAGGAAAGGGGTAAGAGCAATTTGCTACTAACTATGCAGTTGAAATCTCCAAGTGATGGAGGCTCATCCACCACCTTCCTTGCGGATGAGTAAAACCCTGGGTGGGAAGGACCCATCCCAGCACAAAGTACTGTCAGTACCTGCTGTGTCTTTCCTACAGGGAATCACTTGCACTACAGATGAATGTTTGTCTGTTCCTGTTCTTTGTTTTGTCCTGGATTTTCTTTGTGAACTGTATTTGGTCTTGTTCGTTAGGCTTCTAGTGTAACGTGTGTTTTTAGAGCAATAAAATGTGGGAACTTTTTATGTAAAATATCTGGCTCTGCCTCTTTAAAAGTCCTTAAGTATGAGAGATTGATCTGGGAAGCTGCAGGCTGCTGCGGTCCCCTTGTCACAGTCCGGGACTGCCTCTCCCATCCCACACCCTGCAGCTCCCTTTTCTGCAAATCAAGGCAACATCGTGCAGTTGGAGGCAGAACTGTTTTATTCTTGCAACTACATAATGAGCTTTTGCCGAAATGGCTGCAGCTGTTAACTCTGTTCCAGCCAAATCCTGCGGCTCTCGGGCTGCTTGGGTGGCTGCTGAATGAAGGATGTGCATGGTCCCTTGTCTGCAGCCACACGCTGGATTTTCCAGGACATCTTCATCTCCAGCATTGGTGCTGGTTACCTGGTCCCATACCCAGGGTTGACATGTTGCCTGGATGGCAACAGGTAGTGTTGAGTGACAGGAAGAGACGGTAACATTCCTGTTGGCAACTTCTACATCCAAAGCGAGGCACTCATTGCCGCCCATTCCTCTCCCGTTGCCTTCCCAGAGAGCTGCAGCCTCTCCCTCCAGCAGCACAACTGTTCTCTTGCCCTTGAGCATGCGGACGGGCGGCCCGGCGCGGCAGGCAGACGGCAGCTCCTACCGCATGAACGACCTCCGGCCGGTTCTGAAGAAGGCCTCGATCTGTTCCAGGGACCTGCCTTTGGTTTCTGGGACGCAGCAGCCCGTGAATAAGACGTTCGCAGCGCAGATGACGGCAAAGAATAGGAAAGGCACCTCGAGGCCAAAGGCATCCTGGAAGTGGGACAGAAAGCACACGTGAGCCAGTGCAGAGAGGGTCTGAGGAGGGGCTGCCAACACCCTCCCAGGGCAGTACCCACCACGACCCGGAGGAAGAACTGAGTCAGGGTGAAGGCTGTCAGCCAGCTCACGACGACACAGAGGCCCGAGGCCACCCCACGGGCTTTCAGAGGGAGGATCTCCGACATCAGCAGCCAGGTGATGGGACCCCAGCCCATGGCGTAACCTGCAGGAGAGCAGGGCTAAGGTGAGGCTGTTGGGGCGTCAAAGCCTGTTAAGGAGTGCAGAAGAGCCCTGTAATTCTGCCCTGCTCCTCCATCAATCATTATTCCCTCCCATTCATGCTCTGTCAGTCCTCGAAGCGATTTGAGGTGCCATCTTTCTTCATCTTCCAGGGAAATCTGCCTGCCTTCCTCCTACAAGCCCACCCTCTTTGCTTTGTATCACCCTGCCTCGGATGAGGAACATCCCCCCAGGCTGGTACCCAGGACTGTGCTGTGGGTCCTGGGCTCTCTCCACACCTACCCATTATGAAGAACATGGTTGCCAGGAGAGGGATGAGGGTGATGTAGTTTGTCGGCTCAGCAGGGAGGTCGGCTGAGCTCACCAGCGTCTTGTTGGCAATGGTGCTGTTCTGAGAAGATGGCGTGAAGTGGATGTAGAGCCCCATGGTCAGGTTGGAGACCAACATGACACCAGCTGTGGAGAGATGCAACAGCACAGTGGGACCAATGGGTAAGTGATCCCCTCTGTGCCAAAGACTGAGCTCCTGGGAGCGATTCTGCTCAGGAGCTGAGCCACCACCAAAGGGAAGAGTCCTCCCCCACTCCATGCCCGAGTCCTGTCTGGATGAAGTTTCCAATCCTGCACACTTGCAGTGGTCCTGGAAATCCTTAAATGTCTTCCCTTGCACAACCGTGGGAGAGAGACATACCTGACACAAAAAGAAGAATCTTCCTCCCAGCTTTATCCATCGACACAGCAGCAGTCGCCACCGAGAACAGACGTACCAAGCCAACAAGAGCTGCATCGTACTCTGGTTTCTGCAATGGCAAAAGCAGTGAGGAAACTGAGATGGGAGAGCCAGGGCAAGGGCAGGTTCCTACACGTGTTGCCTTGACTCTGGCTGATGACTTTGCCAAAGCTGTCCTGTAGTGAGAGACCAGAGAAGAAGAGCCTGAAGCTCAGAGGAGAGCGGGGAGACAGTGGGGTCAGTCCTGCTCCCCATCCTCATGCAGCCTTTTGCAGAGCTTGGCAAGTGCTGCCAACCAGCTGCTTTAAAAAAGGCTTCCAAGTTGGGGTCTTAGAGTCGCAGGGGACGTGGAGCATTGGGCAGCTGCAGACAAAGCAGTCCGAGCACGGGCTGAACCCCAGGGCTCACCAGGATGACGGATGTTTTCTTGAATATTGACTGCAGGTACACGAGGATGCAGGTGACACCGGAGAGCTGCTGCAGGAACCTCATCCCCACTGCAATCAGGATGGGCTTGTAAATGAAGGGGTCCTTGATCTCGGCGCAGGAAACCCGCCGGCTCTGGAGGGGACAAAGCCAGGGAGATGAGGTGTTACCGTCTCTGGGCACCACCGTGGCACCCAGAAGAGTTTGGGGCTCAGGAGTTGCCCCAAAGAGGCTGGATTTTTGCAGTTTTCTCTTTACACCTCCCCCATCTCCTCCTCACCTGCTTCCTCACGCTGTCCTTGATCTGCTCGTACTCCCGGGCATAGTCCGTGTCCTTGCCCCGCAGCCAGCACAGTGACCCCAGGGCCTTGTCGTCCTTCCCCTGGGAGAGCAGGAACCGGGGCGAGTGGGGCATGAAGCAGAGCAGGACGATCATGGCGAGCACGGGCACCTCCCCTGCGACGGCCAGCCAGCGCCAGTCCAGGACCAGCCCTGCCAGAGCAGCACAGTTAGGAGGGGAGTCCTTCCCCTTGCCTCCACCGGGTCACCCCAACAGCAAAGATAAATAAATCTGGGTAGGATGGGAAGGGGAAATAATCCCAAAAATTAGAGAGAGTTTTTCTCCCAGCAAAGAAGCATTTTCAGCTGTTGTTCAATATGGGGAAATTCCAGCGAGCTCCCCCAAATCTTAGGGGATCCAGCAAGCCTGGGCATGTGCTGGCAGGAGATGTACATGCAGTCCATCACAGGCTGCCCTTCAGCCCGGATGAGACCTCAGCAGGCTGCAGGCACGGTGACGGCCGCAGGTCCATGCGGGTTACAGGTTTGTCCCTCTGAGCACACGAGAGTGGGTTATGCACAGGCGATCCTGGCCAGACCCCCTTTGCACACCCGGGGTGGTGGTTGTGAGCTGGCTGCGAGGGGGAGGAACCCGTTGACTTGCTGAGCGAGGTGTTTAAAATAAACTGCTTCCCGAAGGTCTCGCCAAGGGTTTCCTGCCCTCCGAACACAGAGATACTTGCCCAGTGCGTAGAGGACGAGGGAGCCCAGCACTGCCATGATCTGGGGACAAGCGCCCAGCATGCCTCTGACCCCGGGGTGGGATATCTCCGAGATGTAGACCTGGAGCAGGACAACACATGCTTAATGGGGCTGCAATACACAGCCGTCACCACCAAAACCCTTACTCTGGCGCCTTGCGGTCATCTACTGTGGCCAGGGGAATCCCAAACTGCTGGGAAACTGCCCTCCTGGGGGGAAACCTGACCTGTCCAGAGGCAGGAACTGGTCCTGGCAGGCAGAGAGGAGAGCCTTGCAGACACTGCTGTGGCACGCTCAGACTCCCGTTACTGGAAGGATGTGCCCTAGGGTTACTCAATTCTTGCCTTCCTCTCTGCATGGTGTTTGCTAAACGCTGGAGGAAATAACCGCTGGGAGGAACAGGGCAGGGATTGAGGACCTGCCCTTGCTTTTCAGTGGGTAAAGCCCAGCACTGTGGGGTAGCCTGGGCTGCCCATGCCAGGTCTGCTAACCCAGTGTATCCTCCCCATCCCTGCAGCTCCGGAGCTCTGTTGATGCTTCCAAAAAGCAGCGGGGTACCCCAGGCTCAGCTACGGCGCTGTCCCATCTCACCCACGATGCCCCATCCCACCCATGGCACGTTACCGGGATGGAGGCAGACGTCACGCCACCGGCGTAGCCCGTCAGCACGCGGCCCAGCAGCAGCATCCCGACGCCCTGGGCGCCGGCCATCAGTGCGTATCCCGCGGCCGAGGGCAGGGCCGAGAACATGATGCTCAGCTTGCGGCCCAGGCGGTCGTTGAGGACCATGGCGCTGAGCCCCCCTGCCGCCGCTCCCAGCGTGAAGACCGACTGTGGGGAGACACGGAGAGGGGCACCGGTGGGTCTGGGCTCCCCTTTGCATGCCCCCCAGCAGGGATGATCCCGCTCCTTACCCCAAACCAGGATGCTGTGTGCTGGTCCAGCCTCAGCGCAGGGTTGGGGTGAGTCTCCAGGGCAGGGATGACGGGCGAGGGGTAAACCAGGGCGAAGCCGAAGCTGAAGTTCCCCAGGACAGCGGCAAACACCGCCAGGTAGAGACGGTTGTTGTGGAGGCTCCTGGGGGAGGGAGGAGGATGAGTTGTGTGCCCTTATCGCGCCCGGCAGAAAGTTTAACTCTGTCTTGTGGCTTCCTCAGCCTTTGCCAAGGCTCGTGACACCCAGAGGGGTTTTGCCCGGGAACAGCCCCGCGCAGCCCCAGGCTGGCCGGGTTTCACAGAGCGCAGAAGCAGCTGCTCCTGCCTTGTCGTGGGGGAGGAGAGCCCGTCCCCCCCCAGGCACCACTGATGGTTTCCTCTGCGCCGGGTGGTTTTCAGCAGGTTCAACAAAGTGAAAAAAGCAGAAGCTGGAGCCGGGCGGCAGCTGGCTTGCCCCAGCAGAGCAGGATGGGGGTTTCTATTGAGACCCATTGCTCCCCAGCAGGACCCCATGCCCCCGTAAGGGTCAGATGCCCAAAAGCACAACCACCCACAGCTCCCCCAGGCAGGCTCATCCAGCGCCGCGCACCCTGGGCAGGATGAGACCCCATCTCGAGGCAACTCGGGAACGACGGCATCACGAAGCAGCATTCCCGCTGGCTCCCCCTGGCCCAGCACTCTTGGGATGGGGGGCAGAGCCCACCCCGCAGCCAACCCCG